TCTACATTAAACTGTGACACTGGGGACAATGGGCAGGATCTGGCGGATGGGGTGTGCTTATGGGTGGTAAAAGCCAGGAGATCCTAGGACAGCAGATGCCATTCCTCTCCTGGTCACAGCCCCTTTTTCTGCTCAATGAGGGACAATTTCCAGAGAAACATGGAGACTCCATTGCCATGCCACAAATCACGTGGACAGTAAAAGAATGCCCCACCCCTTATCCCTGCTTCTTTCTGGGCTTCAGAGCCATCCAAGCTTCATGAGGGGACTTTGACAAGCCCCTCAGCACCACATACACAAAATGCTTGCGGATGCCCCGGACAAACTTCCAAGCCCCCAGCAGCTTGAGGGTTTGTCTACACTTGAAATGCTACAGTAGTGCGCTGTCCCACTGTAGCGCTTCAGTGTAGATACTACCTACACTAGCGGAGGGGCTCTCCCATTGCTGTAGTTAATCCACCTTCCCAACAGGCAGTAGCTAGGTCAACAGAAGAATTCTTTTGTCAACCTAGTGCTGTCTACACTGCGGATTAGGTTGGCTTAACTACGCCATTCAGAGGTGGGGATTTTTCACATCCCTGAGTAACAGAGTTAAGCTGACTGAATTTTCTAGTGTAGACTGGGCCTGAGTCCCCATGGGAGTTGCTGCTGTGATGTAAAATCCCCTTGCTCTTCACATACTTACTGCCAATGGGGAAGATTGGCTTCTTGGGGGCCTCTTGGCTGGCCCCTCCCTCCTGGGGGATCTCCTGTCTGGCTTCTCCCTTCTTGGGGACCTCCTGCTTAGCGTCTCCCTTCTTGGGGGTCTCTGGGCTGACCTCTCCCTTCTTGGGGGCCTCCTGTCTGGCTTCTTCCTTCTTGAGGGCCTCTGGGCTGGCCTTTCCCTTGGGGGTCTCCTGTCTGGGTTCTCCACTCTTTGGGGGTTCTTGGCTGGCCTCCCCTTTCTTGGGAGCCTCTGGCCCAGCTTCCCCCTCTGGGGCAGCCCCTGGGCTGGCTCCCCCCTCAGCCACTGGGGCAGGTTTGATTTTTGCCTGTTTTGACAGCATTTTCTCCCCGTTCGGCCTCTTAAGTGGCAAGAGTTGAAACCAGAACAACCCAGCACAGGGGCTTCTCAGAAAGAGATGGGGACAGTGTGGGGAGGGTGGGAACCAGAGGAGTTCAGGCTGTGACCATCTCAGGGGCCACACAAGGTCTCCTCACCTCCCCCCCCCCAAATATCCACCAGGCACCCTTCACCCTGAAACACCCTGTGGGGGCCCTCCACTCTCAGATGCCCCTTGTGACCTAGTTCTCCCCTCACCAGGCCATGCTGCCCCCGCTCCTCCCCGATGGGCTATGTTGCTCTGAGGATCGGGGACTGGCGAGGCCGGGCAGGGGCAGTGGGGGGCAGCTGCCCTCGGTTCCCATGGAGACCAAGCTGCCTGGAGCTCTCCCAGGCTGTGCCCAGCCAGGAGCCCACGGGCAGCTGCCAGCCCAGCCTCCCCTTAGCGCCCACAGCCGGCTGGGACAGTCCTGCCCCTGCAGAACTCAGCACTGCCCCTGCGGCTCCGTTACCGAGGCTGCCAGCTGGGGTGGCCCCCTTCACCTGGCCTGCCACAGCCCATTGCCGAGGGGAGGCAGTGCCAGCCCCGGCTGGGGAACGTTTGCTCCCGGGGGCCCAGAATGGCCCCCACTGGATGCTCCTGGAGCAACAAAGCAGAGACTCGGCCTGAATCTCCGCTCACTCACCCCGGGGAAATCAGGCGCTAGGCCATGGCAGCCGGGGGAGGGAGGGGAGCGGCAGCTCCAGACGCACAGCTGGCTGGCGAGAGTCACCCCAGGGCTCGACCCCCCACCCCGCGCCTGGCTGGCTGGGGAAGGACCCCACGGCTCCATCCACACACCCTAGTCCTCGGTGGGGATCCCCCGGCCCTTGGGCGCTGAATACACGGAGCCCAGCCACACAGCTGAGCTCAAGGCACCTGGCTCCACCAGCCGTACACCCC